ACGCCGCTGTGTTGACTTTCACACTGATAGCCACTAGAGGGCACTCTGGACCTGTGTACTAGTATCTGCTACTCCTGTAAGTCGCACTTTTTTTTAATCCTTTGGTTGGTGCGACTTATACTCCGAAAATGCGGTAGTTTTACAAAACTGAAGTTTTTGTGTAATATTTTATTTATTAAGTTTATCAAGCGGGACGGTTTTGCCCCGTGAGCCATACGTTTGACACACCTAGCTTAGACAGTCACATCAGGCCCTTGTCCTGTTCTGTCTCCAACCAAATCAATCAAGACTCCATACAGTAAGTCGACTGTTGCTGCTGCTGCTGCTGCTGCTGCTGCTGCGCTGCTGTGGATTCATGTGAATACATTCCTGTTTGTTGGTTTAAAAACAGTCCAATGAAATCATTTTTCTTCAACCTTCCGTTCCTGTCACTGACTGCTGTGATCAGACCCGGCCTCTGGTGCAGGAGGACTTCTTCTTCCTCGTTGCTGAAAAGCCAGTATTAAACAGCATTTACTTAGTGATTCACGGCGGCGTCGGTCGCCTCCAGCCCGTCTCTCCTCAGCGCCGCTGCCTCTGTCTAATTAGGTTACTTCATACAGCTCAGTGTGATAAGGCTGTGTAATTATCCTCTGTGTCCTACTGCGCCGGCTCCTGTAATTCTCTGAACTATAATTCCATTTTGAAAGGTAACCTGTAGCTGAGTCTTATTTGGGATTTAGTCCATCAAAATAGGGCCAGACATGAAAGAGGTTAAAAAAAACACTTGTCCTCCAACTTTACACTTGAACTCACATGAATTTTTCATCAGTTTTTCATCCATTTTTCCAGTATAAGTATAAGTTCTATTCATGCAAAAAAGTACAAGTATATTAGACAGTATAGTATCTTTGTATTTAATACAATATGATATATAATATATATATATATTCACAAATCATATCATAGACATGAAGTGTCCATTTTTTTAACTTTCAACATTTTTCAAGCGGGCCGGATTCAACCCCCTAATGGGCCAAGTTTGGCCCTCTGACCATATGTTTAACACCCCTGATCTGGAGACCTACATTTTTTTTTACTGGATATAAAAAAGCATCATGACACAGACACTTCATCTGACCCACGACTGGCTGCGATCACACATTTCTGTTGTTTTTCATGTTTGTTTATTTTTTAACTTTATTTAAACACAAACACTCCATTATTTATTTATATTTATTTTATTCCCGCCTCTTTTCAGTGCTGCGACCTTGGCTACCACGCCAGCCTGGCGCGCACTTTGAGGACCTACCTGTCGGCCGAGTACAACTTGGAGACGTCGCGCCACGAGGGACTGGACGTCATAGAGAACGCCGTGGACAACCTGGACTCTCGCAGCGACAAGCACAAGATCATGGATATGCACAACCAGGTGTTCTGTCCTCCCATGCGCTTTGATTACCTGCCACACATGGGAGACGAGGTGAGACGCTGACAAATGCTGCCAAAGCTCACAACTGATTTGTTTCTGTTTCTGTTGACTGATTCAGATTTGTTTAATTTAATTTGCACCCCGCCCTTCCTAAATTCTTCCCCCACTCCTCAGGTCTGCCAGGTGAGCGCCCAGCAGCCGGTGCAGACTGAACTCCTGATGCGCTACCACCAGCTGCAGTCCCGTTTAGCCACCTTAAAGATTGAAAATGAGGAGGTGAGGGTTTTTTTTCTTTAGGCTTTTCTCCTTCTCCCTGCATCACCAAACTCCCCCACCTACCTCCGCCCCCCCCCCCCCCCCCCCCCCCACCCAACACCATCTGCTCTCATTGTAGCTTCTCTCCTCTGACCTTTGGGTCCTGAGAAAAAAGATTTAGATAAAAAAGATTTACTCTGAAAGGTTTTACTTCCATAAGGCAGTGAGTTCCTAAATACAGAGGTGGAAGTAACTAATTACATTTACTCACGTTATTGTAACTGAGTAGTTTTTGTTTCAGAAATAGGTCATTTTACTTTTACTTAAGTAAATTTTTACTCATGTATTTGACTAAATGCGTGGAAAAACAATTTGCGTTAACTGAAGGGAAATCGCGTGTGCTTGCGGGTGGCGGAGTTCCCATGATGTAGCCAGAGAACGTTGACGTTGAGGATTGCCCAGCAGAGGGCAGAAGACTCAGGAAGCGTAGGAACTCCTTGGCCATATCTCAGCAAACTCTTTTTTTTTTCAATGCAAACGATGAAATAACTTTATTAAGTAATTTAAAGTAACGAACTTACTTATACTCAAAGTATATTTTAAATTAAGTACTTTTACTCAAGTAGATTTTAGATGAGTACTTTTACTTGAGTTGATACTTTTACTTCATTACATTTTTTAAAACTCTTTCTCCACCTCTGCCTGGACAGCCGTGGTCTTGGTGAAAAGACCTTTTCGATCTTTGTGACCAGGAGGTGCAGATGGAGGTGATAATGGCGGAGTTGCCCGCGTCGACGGCTGCTTGTTTCTCCTGTTCCGGAAAAGTAATAGCCGCGCCGCGCCATTAGTGGAAATTACCTTTATCAATCTCAGCAGTAATTGTGCGCAGTTTTCCTCCGTGTCAGGCAGACCTCGTTTTTTTCACAGTTTCCTGTCTGATGTATGTCCAGCCCCGCAGGCGGCGCCTGATGTTTCATTTGTCACCATCTCCCTCACCCCTCCTCCCCGTCTCCCTCTTGTCTTCTTCGCAGGTGAGAAAGACCTTGGATGCGACCATGCAGACGCTGCAGGACATGTTGACGGTGGAGGACTTTGACGTCTCCGACGCCTTCCAACACAGCCGCTCCACCGAGTCCATCAAGTCGGTGGCGTCGGAGTCCTACATGAGCAAGATGAATGTAGCCAAGCGGAGGGCCAACCAGCAGGAGACGGAAATATTCTACTTCTCAGTGAGTCCGTGTGACCTTTGACCCGCGCCGTCTGCAGCGAATTCGTCTCCCGTCGTCACTCATGTCAGACCCGTGTCAATCAAAGAACCCGTTCTGCCTGGATACAATCTCATATAAAGATTAATATATTAATATGTAATATTGGAGCCGTTAGCACGCCTGCCTCGGAAGCAGAGAGAGGTTCGATTCCCAGAGGAACCACATGCTCGATTGCTAATCTTCCTCTTGTGAGTCACTTTGGATAAAAGCGTCTGAAAGCTAAATACATAAAAATCTAAATGAAATATAAAAACGACAACACGCTGGAAATGTCTTCACGAAGAACAAGAATCAAAAATATCACTGTTGTTGACGTAAGAATTTCCTTGTCTTTGGACGACGGAAAAAAAAAAAATATTCCACTCGGCCGTTGCTCTCTGCTCATCGCTGCCTTCGTTTCCTTTGTCGTCCAATAGGACAGAAATAAAAAAATATATAAAAATATTCCACTCGGCCGTTGCTCTTTGCTCATCGCTGCCTTCGTTTCCTTTGTCGTCCAATAGAAATTCAAAGAGTTCCTGAACGGCAGTAACCTCATCATAAAGCTGCAGGCCAAGCATGACCTTCTGAAGCAGACACTGGGTGAAGGTAAGAGGTCACGTCTCTTCATCTGTCTTCAGTCACTCCGGTGTCTTCTAACTCTGTGTGTGTGTGTGTGTGTGTGTGTGTTTCCTCCTTGTAATTATGATCCACACCGTCCTGTCACACGGCTCTGTCAGATCACTGCCCTCGGGGCTGCAGAGCTGCAGGTCTTATCTATTAGGAGGCAGAGAATGAGATTAAAGAGGCCAAAAGTGCTTCATTAGAGTCGGCCGCCGGGAAAGATAATAAACGGGAGGTTGATGGACAAATGTACCCCCCGAAAAGACCGCAGTACTTTCTGCTCTGAGGTATTCGTACACACTTCCCCACCTCATTGTCTCTCTGTGGTATTAGAGAGAGAGAGAGAGTGTTTTCATTTTANGTGAACAGTTTACGCCCAATCAATCAGCAGGTCCAGGCCCAGACCCGTTCCTGCAGCTGCTCCTGCGTCGGGGATTCAGCTCATAAAAAAAAAAAAAAAAAAAAAAAGGATTTCACAGCTGAGGCCTTTCATCCATTATGCATATTTCCACACATCGCACCTCAGATTCATTTGTTCATTTACGTCGCGGCTAATAATGCGTTGTGGTTCCTCTGGGATGGCGAGGTGTCTCTGTGTGTGTGTTGTTGTCGTTGTTGTTGTGACACTAATAAACACTCGCGTCACGGCTCCGATCAATCTCCGTTGGTCTCTTCAGCTGACGTTCTGTATGAACAGGACATACGGCGTCTCCAGGTACCACCCGGGTTTAATTATTCAGCTGATCCATCAGGGGGCGTGTGCATCATGCTCATTAGCTCATTGCTTCACACCCGTAATAGCGTGTCTGCATCTGTGTGTGTGTCTGTGTGTGTGTGTGAGATAATGACAGAGGAAACAAGATGAGCTCGCTGAGCGCCACATGGCGTTAACATCTCACTGCATGTATTAATGAAAACACGATGTCGAGGCTAGCTGCTGCCAGGCTATCTAGCTGCACTGACGAGCTAACACCGGTGCCCGGGTTTAATGGGTTGGATTTTCTCGCTGTCAACTCTAATGTCGACACAGAGATGTTCCCTCCGTTATTACAGAACCGTCACAGTTTTGGACTAGAAAGTCAAACAGACGTTTTTTTTTTCCTGTTCGAGCTTGAAAATCTATCATTTTGAGCTGCGTCGGTCGGAGGCAGACGGAGGAATCATTCACAGGAGAATTGTCTGGAAAATGAACTGTTGTTTCTCCACACGGTTGCCGTCTGATCTGTCAGGATGATGTTGTGAGAAATGGTTCGGCCTCCGCTCCTTCTGCCCGTCGTCAGGTGGAACGTCGGTGCCATTCCGAGCCTTTGTTGTTGTTTTTTTTCCCCAGACAATCTGGCGTTGGCCGTAATAACACTGCGTGATGTACGTGTATCAACATCGCTGTCGCCAAACATCGCCTTGTTAAATTACCGTGGCTGAATCGCTGAATCACGCTCAGATGCTTCTGTGTGTGTGTGTGTATTACAACACACACACACACACACTCTGGTGTGCGTGCTGTCCAAGCGTCAGGACAAAAGACTCAGTGAACCAGCACACACACACACACACACACACACACCCGCCTCTCTGCTGTGACTGGGGTGGATGGAGGAGGGGTGTGGGGTTGTGGGGGGGGCTGTCCCCCCCCCCCCCAGGGTTCTTCTGGTTCCCCCGGGGGCTTCAGAGACAACTGCTGAATGGCCGTGTCCAGTGAATGGTGTCAGAATGGATCCATTCATCTCCGTCCAAACGCTCATGCTGCCCCTCATAAAAAAACACCGAACAATGTAGAGTTAGCAGAACATGAAGATATAACATGTCCCTGTGTGTTTCTCTACCCCCCCCATGTCCCGCCCCCCCACAGGAGAAAGAGCCGAGTGTGGAACCACAAGGTAAGACGGGCCGTGATGAGTGGGTCTGTGTCTGTGTCTGTGTCTCTGTCTCTGTCTCTGTGTCTGTGTCTGTCTCTGTCTCTGTGTCTGTGTCTCTGTGTCTGTGTCTGTGTCTCTGTCTCTGTCTCTGTGTCTGTTGGTCAGGATGCTAATGGCTAATGACGGGGATACAGATTAGAGAGTCACAAAATACATGTATTGATTGTTGTTTTTACTGAGTAACTTTGTTATGTTTCTAAACCAATAGATTTTGACCAAATCATCCACTGCTTTATTGTTCTGAGGGTCTCAGGAGGAGAAGGAGGGGC